TTGAACTCCTAATCCTCCCAAGTGATGAAATTACAGGAGTGTGCTACCACGCCCAGCTCTGAGTTTGTTTTTAGCAGATTTGAGCAAGGCAGAATCTTAAGACTTAATGAGCCAGTGTAATCCTCTCTGACCCTCTCTGGTTGCAGACAAGGAAGTTAGAGCTTCTGCACTAAGGCAATCTTGGAGAGCAGACATGTAGATTCCAGTATGATCCTGTCAGTCTATTGATTATGTGGCAGTCTCTCCAGGCCGCTTGTACAGCAGGCAAGCGAGACTGAAAGCGTCCAGTGCACAGCTCCCTAAGACATCAGACCACTTGGTGCTGCAAAGCCATCTCACAGGGATGGAGAGCAGTCTGGAAAGGGCGAAGGGAAAAGTTTGTGGGGCTTTAGCGTGGGCACACGATGTCAGGAAGGCCTTTCACAGTGGAACTGATGAAATTGGGCAGTCTATATAACACAACACTGTAGGGTTGGTAGACAGTGCACAGCAGGGTCCTGGAAGCAAGTCTGGGCCGGTAAACTGCTGTGTCCATAGCCAGCTGTTCGCCTGCTGTCTCGGGTAAATCACTGGGTGGAATGCATGTCCTAAAGCATCACTGCAGAAGGAAGGGCTCCTGAAACAGTGTGGATAACACAGGAGCTCTCCATTCAGTTCCTGAGTTCTACTGTTTGGTAAGGAGACCAGAACTCACAGAGATGAGCTGTAAGTCAAGGGACTAGCCCAAGAGAGTTCGTCCAGTTTCCGGAACGGAAATTCCTGCTAAAACAAAAGCAAAACAGGACAGAAAGTCACCTTGTCCCTCTTAGTGGCTTCCAGTCAGATCTAGGACCAAGCCTTCCACCTTGCAGACCAGCATCCTTCCACCGTGCATCTAGGCCAGGCTCCCTGCCTGCCAACATCAGCAAACTAATTCGGCTACAGTAGAAATTCCTAAGTCTCATTTCCATCCTGAAGCACGTTTATTTTATTTCCATTTCTGACTTACCTTCCAGGATAGTGAGGGCAGGGGCTTCCAGGGTGCCATGGGACTGGCTTTCATGGTGGAGTCCTGAGTCTGACCTCAGAGGACAAATGTAGGGTCCAAGGGAGAGGCCACTCAGATGTGACCCATGGACAGAGTTCCAGGACCAGGAGTTTTCACATAGTTTAGCTTGCTGAACTGAGCGTGATTGGGCCACATTCTCACACTTGGCTGTGGTCGTCCTGCTTCCTGTAATTTCCAACACCCTCGGGTGCTGCCTGGGTGAAATGTGCCACTCCCTTTCAGAATCGTTCTCTGTCCAGAGGTCAAGCTTTTGTTTCAGTTTCAGTATTTATCTGTCTCTCCTAAGCAGTTTTCTGACCTTGAGAATCACCCAAGTATGAACGGCAGGCTTCATCAGGGGCGTGAAAGTGTTGTAAGTAATTCCTGTTTTGGACAGTTCTCAGGGTTAGGAGAATTTGGTCCCTAACTCAGGGACCAAAAGGTCATTGATCTCTTTTCTCTTCAGAAATGACTCCTGATAAGTAGAGGAACCTGTGTGGCTCCCAGCATCCTTTGCCTCCATTAATGGGGGCTTGGGTAATTTCATATCACTAACCTCAGTGTTGAATGCAGAAAGGGTGACAGGTAAACTGGACCACTGCTTAGGTCTTCTGGTGCTTTTTGCCATCTGTGTGGTTTAAGTATCAATGACTTTCAATTAATTGGTGTCTTCCTATCAAGAAAAAAATCATTAAGCTCTAACCAAATGCAAAGTCCTACATTGGATAAGGGAAACACAGGGACACCAACCTCGGTGCCAAGGACACTGGGGCCCGGATGGGGGAAGTGGCCAGTGTAAGACTCAATTATACAAAACACACGATTTACTGTGGAACCCTAGAGAGACCAGGAGACAACTAGTTGGGATGGTTGGGGAAACCATCACCCATGATGCCCAAGGGAGATGAAACTTGAGTGCTGGGTGCTTTTTGCCAAGAGGAAAGGATGTTCCAGACATAGGAACAGATCTTAAAGGCAGGAAAACTCAAAAGAGCAGGATGTATTTTGAAGACACCAAGAAAATTTGCATAACTCATCATAAGGTTTCCAGGCTATAAAGAGGCAAAGGGTAGATTGGGGGAGAAGTTGTGCATCAGCTAAAGACCCTGAGCTTGATCGTTCTGTGAGGAAGAGCATCCATAGAAGTCTTAGTTATGGTAAAGAACAAGCAAGTCAGCTTTAGGCACATCACACACACTCCACAATGTGAGGGAGGGTGGCCTGGTGGAAGAGGAAATGGAGGAAGATAGGGCTGAAGAGATGTCGGGGGTAAGGGTGTTTGCTGTCGAACCTGATTTTCTGAGTTCAATCCCCAGAACCCATGTGATGGAAGGGGAGGATTATCCCAAAAGTTGTTCTCTGACTCCTACACGGACACATGCACACACAAAGATGAATGAGTAAATGGAAAACAAACAAATAAGTAAGACAGGACAGAAAGCAGAATCCAGGGGAAGGAAATCCCCTGGGAACGTAACATTCGGACTTAATGTGTGGTGGAGTGTTGTGTGGCTCTGCTGGAATGTAATTATCAGAGTCTCCAAGAAGATCTGGGAAAAATAAAACCAAAATTATGAGGGCAGTGAGGAGAAAAAGGACACCTAAGGGGTCTTTGACTGTGTGGTGGAGTCAGATGCATGGCTCCAGGCCCAGGGTCTGAGTTACACTTGCCAGGAGAGAAGGCCACTAAATGGCCAGGGAAGTAGTTCTGTGGCTCAGAGTGGGACTGAAATCAGAGAGGATGTTGTGTTGGCCCAAGGCAAGGAGTAGCTAAGAGAGAGGACTTCCAGACAGAAAACAGAAGCACCTCGAAGTAAGTCAGGGAATGGTGATGGGGAGGGATGGTCTTCCCACAGTTTTCCTGTGGCTGTATTCCAGCTTCCAAAGACGTCCATCTTGGAGACAACTATCCCTTCTTTATATCCAATTCAAACATTAATTAATATGCAAGAAGAACACAGGTTCTGATTGACATTAAATCAACCCCCTACACACACTAGATAAGTAATTGGCAGATAGCGTGGGGAAAGTTTTAATTCTTTGGACTGGAGTTGCTATGCCCACTTCATGTAGGGCTGTCCCCTCATCACTGACAGTGTGTGTCGCCCCTGGGGCCTGGTATCAAGCAGACAGCTACTTCCTTACTCCAGAAGTGCAGCTGGTAGAGTCAAGAGCCTGAGAACAGGAACTGCTGCCAGGAATAGCCGGGCAAATTCACCCACTTCCAAGAAGGTCACTCAGTGTGAGAACAGGGTGAAGGCAGCTTGAAGCGGATTCTTGGCACTGCCACAGCCATGTCTGCCTGTTGCATAACTTACAGCCTTTGGTTCCCTTGACTGAGAGCACTGTTGACCTGGCATTTTCTGTTCCTCTCCATAACGCCGCTTTTCCAGCCACCTCATGCTCATCACTGCCTGTCAGGCGACCTTCCCTAATAAGTCAGCTTCCCTTCTCCTTTTAACAGCTACCTGTTGAGAGTCCTATTTTTAACGAACAATTATAACCTAAGAGCTGTCATCTGTCAGGCTGTAAACGGTTGTTAAAAATAGGAGTCCTAGACGTGTAGTCATTAGACAGCAAAAAGCTGGGAACAATAGGGAGAGTCACGGAGGGAGATGTTAATTACATCTGAATTCATTACTGAAACTCATCTTAGGAAGGGCTGTGGTCGGTGGCCAGCTCTAACAAGAAGGGGGCTGTTGCCCCTCACGGAAACAGTTCAACCAGCCTTCAGGGTGCTTCATCTCTGGGGTGCCTGCTCCCGTCCATAGCCTAGAGCAGTTGATTGTACACTGCCCAGACGTGTCTTAGAACTGGGATGGGATATCCAGAATCTTAAGAGTGATGCCTTCCTCGAAAGGAGAACGCTTTGAGACAATAGCCAGCTCTTCTCCCCAATTTCCTTAGCTCCACACTGACTTCGCTTGTGCACCCCAGCACTTGAGGGAAGAGAACATGGAAATAAGTGCTGTGCTAGCACTTGGGGTGTGTGTGTGTGTGTGAGAGTGTGTGTGTGTGTGTGTGTGTGTGTGTGTGTGGAGATCGAGGTTTAAAGCGGTCAGACAACTTGCTCCAAATGAAGAGTTAGGAAAGGGCTAGCCCCTGGGCACACCCTCCAGAGCCTGCCTCTGATATGAGATGCTTCTGTCTCCTGCCTGTCACTGAGAATGCCCTTCTAAGAGACCGAGGCAGACCGCCCGCTCAAAAGCGCTGTACTTGTTTGGATGGCCGCTAGAGTTTGGGTTTCAGGCAAGAGAAACTCTCCAGTTTGTTTTCCAGTGGGGGCCAAAGGTTACAATTGTTCTGCGGCCCCTGTCCCCTCTAACTCAATACCCTACCAGGACAACTGCTAAGACTCAGGATACAGAAGATGTGAAATCCAAGGCTCTAGCTTCACAGATTGACTGAGTTCTCATTTGACCTTGATTTCTTGGGTTACATCTGCTTTCCTGGTCAGGCCCAGAATGCTGGTTTTGTCTTCACATGCATGTGCTTTTTCTTTGGAGCAGGTATCCCCAACCCGCAGGGTTTTTTTCCCCCTGACTTGGAGAAATTCAGAATTCTACATTCACAGAACATTAGGCCATGGCAGACTATTAAGCTCAATGGAGCCGAAGGCCTTTAAATAGCAATGCTTCATGTGACAGATTCCACATCTACCAGCTGGGGCAGGGGAGAGAGCCGTACTAATGGACGTCCACTCAGACATGACTAGAAAGCATCTCTGAAATGCTGATTGCTAGGTGTTTGTTGGAGTCTTCCCAGGTGCCTGTGACTACTAAAATGCAAAAGTCCCCCCTCAAGAACTCCAGTCTGAATGCACCCCAAACAATGCAAGACAATATATGTAAACAGGTGCCCGGGGATGAAGAATGTGGTTCCACTGATGAATTTTTCTCGTGTAATTCTGTATCTGGTACAAACAACCTTAAGTGAATTACTATTTGCTCTGTTAAAACTCAATGTTTTCCAGGCCTAGCTTGATGGCCCAGTTGACAAAGTGCCTACTGTGTAAGTGAGAGAAGCTTCATTCAGATCCCGAGGACTCACATACAGTGCCGGACACGGCTGGGCACTCTGTAACTTCAGCCTTGGGGGGATAAATGAAGACAGACAACTGGATCACTGACGATCATTGGCCGGCCAGCCTCATTGAATCAATAAGCTTCCGGTTCATCGTGAGACCTTGTCTCAAATAATAAAGGTGACAGGCGATTGAGGGAAGTCACCTGTGGTCGTTTGAATGAGATGTCCTCTATGAGTCTCTAGCATTGAAGACTTGGTCCCCAGCTGTGGCTGTGGGGTAGGAGGTGTGGCCAAGCTGGAGAAGTAGGTCACTGGGATGAACTTGAGGTTTCAACAGCCTGATGCGCTTTCAGATTAGCTCTCTGCTTCCTGTTTGTGGATCAAGATGTGAGCTCTCGGCCGCTGCTGCAGCACCACGCCTGCCTGCTGCTGCCGCCGTTCTCCCTACAGTGACAGTCTTTTAGCCCTCTGTAGCCATAAGTCCCAATAAACCCTTCCTTCTGCAAACTGCCTTGGTTGTGGAGTCTTATCATAGCAATAGCAAGTAATTAATACAACACTCCATGTCTGCTCAGGACCATATACTCACACATGTGCATGTGCACACACAACACCCATGTACAATAACACACACACACACACACACACACACACACACACACACACACACACTATGTTAGTTACTTCCCTATTTCTGTGATTAAATACCATGACCAAGCCAGCTACTGAAGGGAGGGTGTATTTGGGCTGATGACTCCCAAGGGATAAGGACCCATCTCTGTCTTAACAGGAAGTATAGTAACAGGTATGGTGGCAGAAACAGCTGAGAACTCACATCTCAAACCAAAAGCAGGAACCTCTGTGGGGCAGTGGTGGCACATGCACTTGGGAGGCAGAGACAGGTGGATCTCTGTGAGTTTGAGGCCAGCCTGGTCTACAGAGCGAGTTACAGGACAGCCAGTGCTATACAGAGAGACCTTGTCTAGAAAAACAAAACAAAAACCTCAAATCTTGCCCCTAGTAACATACCTTCAGTAAGCCACACATCCTAACTCTACTCAAACAGCACCACCGAGAATCAAGTCTCCAAACGCCCCAGACTCTGGGGGACATCAAACTCAAACCATGGCACACATATAACTCAACATTTCCCTTTTCTCTTCTTAAGCATCTTTGAAATTTAGTAAGAAATTTGGTCAGTTTAGCTACAAGTAAGTTCGGTTGTGAATAAGAAGTTATTTTCCCATCATATGCCCACCCCTTAACTGCATGTCTAGGATGACACTGTTCTGGAGGCTTTTAGAACCCTCCCCACCCCGAAATGCCTCTACTGAGAGTCTGCAGCCCACAGAAAGAATTCTCAAGCCTCGAGAGATAATGCTTCACAAACCTCACAGCCAACATCAGACCTTGATGAGGGAAGGCCAGTGCGGTGGCTGAAGCATGCCCGGAGCTTCTACATTCCTCCCTCAGCTCACAGAGCTACAGATAACTTTTTCCACGGAGCCGTCCAACCCCTGTCCCTGCGAGACCTGGTCTTTTTTTTTTTTTTTTAAACAAGTCAGTAAACCAACGAGAACTTCTGTCAAGTCTGGTGTCTCTATATAAATGGGTACAAATTTAACTTGACACATTAATTTCTTTCTAGAAAACAATTTATATTCATAGAATCTCAGAGTTGGATGGGCCTTAATGGTCACCCAGTTCACAGACCAACCTCATGCTTTTGTGGATCACTTCTAAAGAAGTTTGTTTCCTTGGTGTCCGTGATACAGTTCTGGGGTCAGGCCTCTTGGGCCTTCCGGCCTTCATCCCACTGGGACAGCTGGGTCTCAGCATTGTCTCATCTGTGCCTCTTTCTGGGTAGGGTAGCTAGATTCTCCAGGGTAAGAAAAGTCAAAACTAAAAATCCTACACTTGGAGCTAAGGATGTGGTTTAGTGGTGGATCCCCGGGATTGAAAAAGAAAATCCTCTATTAAGGAAAATTTCCGGTATTATTAACTCTAACTCTATTTTAGCTTCATATCCTTTTGTTGTGGTAAAATACTCTGACAAAGCCACTCCAAGGAGAAAGGGTCTCTTCAAGATGGATGGGGAGGTCACAGTAGCAGGAACTTGAGGGAGTTGGCCATTTTGCATTCCCAGGAGAGAGGAGAACGCAAGCTTGCTGGTGCTCGGCTGACTCTGCACTCGGCACACTCCAGTGCTGTCTGTGGAATGGTCAGCCCAGCACTATAGTGCAACCAAGACCCCCCCGTGCCGTGACAATGAACACTGGCCATCACAAACTCCATCTGAGGGGCGGCAGGGTTGAATCAGGCCAGTCAAGCTCCAGAGTCCACACAGCAAAGAAAAAATTGTGTGTGGGGGGGACAGAACAGCCATTCTGAGAGCCTAGTTAGAGTTAGATCACTAGCATGGAGAACTATAAACTGGTTTATTTTGGTCACCCAATAGCTACAGTTACCGCTTATATTTCCGTATTTCTCCTTTCTTTCTAGAAAAGCCTACACGTGTGGAAAGCCCAGCATTTGTTCTTTCACTTTAAATAGATGCGGAACCAAAAAGTTGCCATGCCTGCCCCCACGAAACAGTAGCTGCACATCACAGGGCTGCAAGAGCGGCCAGCACAGGAGGAAGGCAGGAGCCAGAACTGACAGAGAAGGACGCAGAGGCTGGGAAGCTGGGAGAACTTGGCCCAGCAGACTGATGGAGAATTGAGGACAGCAGATTGCAGCAGGGAGGCCGGGAGGAGGCCGGTCCTGTAGTGTCGGCGTCCAGGACACTTGGTGTAAGTCTAGCCAGCAAGAAGGCTCCATCTACTAAATGACAAGGAAGTTCAGAGTCTTGGCCCAGACGTGGGACAGAAGCAGGGCAGAGAGATGTGGCAGGCAATGAAGACCTCATATAGATTAGGTCCATTGAGTGCCAAAACCTCATTAAACTTACCTTCCGAGAGAGTCAATGTATCTTCCCAAATCTTCTGCATTGGCCAGTAAGATACAGTGTGCATAAGGGCCTGGAGAGGAAGCCTAGCCAGTAAAGTGCTTATGTTGAGCCCCAGGATCTTTCACCCAGACCCTATTATTCATTCATTCATTCATTCATTCATTCATTCATTCATTCTTCTGTGCATGTATGTTGTATGTATGTTTTCATGTTTGTACAAATACACCTATGTATATATGGAGACCTGAAGTAAATATTGAGTGTCTTCCTCAATCACTGTTGGCCTTATACATTAAGTCTTTCATCTGAACTCAAGAGCTCACCAGTATGGCTAGTCTAGCTAGCCAGCTTACTCTAGGGATCCCCTGTGTGTGTCCTTCAAGCTTTGGAATTACAGTTTGGCTGTCACACCCACCCAGCATTTACATGAGCGCTGGGATTTGAACTCGGGTCCTCATGTATTTGCAGCAATCGCTCTGTCTGCTGAGCCATCTTCCCAGCCCTCCTTATTTCCAATGGCAATTTCTTAGCAGTGTCTTTTGAGATCTTAAAGCACTTGTGACAACTGGTTTAAAAAAAAAAAAACTGCACTTTAAAAAACAAGATGCTTCCTGGAGGGCAAAATTTCCAATTAGATACTGAAAGATTAAAGTGTTGAGAATTATGGGTACGATGAAGAAATTAAAAATGCATAGCACACTTCACAGAATCACAAGGATCTCTGATTTACCAAATTAAAAGACACATTTTTAAGAATTGCAATCAACAAACCTTGGGCTGACTTCAAGGGATTATTTTATTTGAATGAACATGCTTTCATGATGAAAAACAGGTCTTTTTATTTTTTCTCCTTCTAGAAGTGAATCATTCCGCTTTCCATCCCACAAATTTCATTCAAGGGGGGAAGACAAGCCTGCTGCTTTCCCTGTGTGTGGAGTTCAGGGTCCCTGTGCTGGAACTTGCTTCAGTTCTGTCCTGTCTGTCACCAGCTATCATTTTTTCACCCAGACAAGCTCTCCCGCCCCCCACCATTCCCGTGGAACAGTGGACCAGAGGGAGGGCTCCTCACTGACCTTATTTTTCTTGTGGTTTCATCTCATTTTTCATGGCTTCATTGTAAGACAGTAGCTTTGTTTAAAGACCTCAAGCTGGCAAACAGGAGTTGACTTACTAGAACATAACAACTTTTTGGAGTCTCCAGATCTGTGATGTAAATACCACAGTTTGTTTTTAAAAGATTTTCCGTAATCCGTTGTGTAAATACACGTATTTGCATAATTTCCAAAACTGGAACTTTGACGCCACGGTTTTTCCAGCCTTACTCTCAGTCATGTGGACACCAATGTGCAGGTTTGAACTCCAGCATGTCATTTTGTCATCTTCAGACTTAGGGAGAGCAGGAACTCAAAAGAGGGATTCCCCATCCTACTTCCCTAAAGCATCTCAAGCTGGCCATCTGTATCAGAGGGAAGAAGACACTAGTGAACTTGACCTTTGTGGAACTGGATCCCAGGGTACCCCGGTGAGGTGAGTATTTGCAGGCACTGGCTTTGGACTTGCTCTCCTAGGGACATCTAGCAGCAGCTTCTCCATTTTTAACAGGACTTTCTTTGGACCACCAGACCCCAAATAATGACATGCGTGGAGACTTCTTATTAATTATGAAAGCTTGGCCTTAGCTTAGGCTTATTCCCAACTAGCTCTTAAAATTTAAATTAACCCATTTATATTAACATGTTCTGCCATATGGTGTGTTACCTCTTCTCAGTACCATATATCTGACTTCCTCGGCATCTGGCCAGCCAATCTCCTACCTCAGATTCTTCCCCTGAGTTCCTTTCTCTCCCCGGAAGTCCCACCTATCCTCTTCTGCCTAGCTATTGGCTGTTCAGCTCTTTATCAAGCCAATCAGAAGGTGCCTTAGGCAGAAGAGGTAAAACAGATACATCTTCACAGTGAACAAAAAGATTATCTCACCCCTTGCTTAGGGCTGTGGTGCTGGCTGTTGGCAGTTTGCGTTTTGGTTAATTTTGGCTCCATTTTACGGTAGGAAGTGGAGGACACAGAAGAGAGCACTCTGGCATATTCTGACACTCAGTGGCAGCTGAAACCAGAGAGCAGGGACACTTGAAGCACCTTTGAGCAAGCCCTTTCTACCGGCTGTGCTAGCTTGCTTTACACGGCTCTTCATACATTTCTCCCAAGGAGAATCCTGTTTGAATTTTTCTTTAGTAGTTGTGTAATTTGCTGCTCTCTTCTAGATGGTCCAGTTGACTGAAGATGAGTTTTCCCTTGACACTGGATGGGTTACGTGTGTGTGTGTGTGTGTGTGTGTGTGTGTGTGTGTGTGTGTGTGTGTGTGTGTATGTATATATATGTATTCATTCTGGGGATTGAACCAAGGGATTCACTCACAGAAGCTAGGCAATGCCGCACCACTGAGCTTCATCCCAAACCTCTTTTTACTTTTTTTCTTTTTTAAGGCCAGTCTCAGTAGTCTGGAATTCACTGTTCAACCCAGAGAGACCTTGAACTTTTGATCTCTTGTCTCAGCCCCCCAAGCAGTTGGGGTCACAGCCTTCACCACCAGGCTCAAGGCAATCACTCCCCGTATGTTACCTTTTATTGCTGCCTCTGTTATTATAATTCATTTCACTAACCATTTCTCTGCGTTTTCATCGTTTAAAGCTTAGAGACAATAAAGGGAAGGAATTTCAAACAAGGGAGGGTCAGATACCGTTCGTGCCCTAGGGAGCTCTGTTGCTTTCGTCTTCTCTGTCAGTCAAGCGTTCGCTTCAGTTCCAGAGGACCCTCTTAACCCTGAAGACGGTTTTCTGGGAGAGGACCTAACCTCACACCTAAAATCATTATTCTTGGCAGCTCTGTGTCTCAATAGAGGCTAAAATATTCCCTCTTGGGAGGTGGGACCCCAGCCCCAAGACGGCTCCGTGAGGCCTGTAGCTTCCCTCTTCTCTGCAGCTGACAAGTTGACCAATTAAAATTCTTGCTTTCTCATTTGCATAACTTTCTCACGCCGAGGTGACTGAGGGGAATGCTGGGTAGTCAGTCTCCTTCCATCTTTCCAATCTGGCCTTTCTGAAAAGTCCAAGTAGCTATATAAGGACTGGACCATGATTTGATTCCACTGTGGTTATCATCGTGAAGCATACATTAAATGCCTTCTTTTGGGAATTCCCATCTACACAGACACAGAAGGTACAACCCCTGCCCCAAAGGCATCCACAATTGCTTGTGACAGCAGGATATGCATGTTTCTATAACACAGAGAATGAATAGAGAGATGGAGAAGTGCCTGAGTAAGAGCACCGGTTACGCAAACATGACCTGAGTTAGGATCCCTGGCACCCACACAGAAAGCTGGGAAGGAGTGACTGCAAGTGTCCGTAACTTCAGCACTGACAGACAGACGGTCCCAGGCTCAGTAAGAGGCCCAGGCTCTGGGTGACAAGGTGACAGAGCAGGATGTTGGATGGCCTCCACAGGCAGGCCTCTGGATGCAGCTGTGTACACTCTACACCAAACATAAATAGATAAACAAAATAACTGTAGGGAAACTGAGGGGGGCAATGAATGTGGAGGCACCAACGAAAGAGAAAAGTTGCAGCCTGGAGTGTCTGTCTCACCAGAAAGGGGATGCTGATGGGATGGCTTGGAGGAGTGGTCACCTGTCAAGGGACATTGTGTGAACAGAGACAAGAAGGAGGAAAAGCCTTGATGTGTCTGACCAGTTAATGGCCCCTGATGCTCTGAAAGTGGGGTCCACTTGCAGGGAGAGGCCTGACCAGGCCATTTGGAACATGTGGGATGTTAAGTAAGTGTCTGGGGTGTCACTAAGTCGACAAAACTTACTTAGTCTTCTTGTTGGGTGACTTTTGAAAGCAGTGGATGTTTAATTTTAGATGAGCTATTCTTATTTATTCTGGTCACATTAATACTTTTTAAATTTTTTTTTATGAGCACTGGTGTTTTGCCTACATGCATGTCTATGTGAGGGAACTCCTGGAACTGGAGTTACAGACAGTTGTGAACTGCCATGTGGGTGCTGGGAATTGAACCCAGGTCCTCTGGAAGAACAGCCAGAGCTCTTAACTGCTGAGCCATCTCACAAATCCCCTTTTTAAATATCTTTAAGTGAATATATGCATGTTAGGTATGGGAAAACTCAGCCTTTTTAGTAAAACATCTTAGGAGTTTTCACAAAAGCATTTGGCATACAGCCACAAATACAGCAAAAATATTGAAGCTCCTGTACCCTCAAGTCCCTCTCTGGTCTTTGCAGGGAACCTTTACCTCTTATCTGTTGCACAAATCCTAAATGGTCTCACAATAAAACCCAGAGTCAAATATCAAGGTAAAAGCTGAAAGATCAGAGAAGCAGAGCAAGCCACAACCACTTTTCACCTCACCGACTTCTCAGTCGAAAAGAGAAAAACCTGTCTCCACGAATCCTCAGACTCAGTGCCTCTGAGTCCTCAGTCAAACTTTTGCCACAAAGAAAGTAAACTCCATATGGAATTTCTCTGATGCCCATCATCTTCTCTGAAGTAGATTGGTGCTGCCAGCAGCAGACATATCTCATTGTCATTAAAAAAAAAAAGAATCTATGTTATTAAAACATCTTAAATGCCATATTCTGTAGATCTCTGAAGTGTTTGAAGATGACCTGTCTATCTAAAATATATCTGTTTGACCTTGAAAACATGCCTAACCTGACAAGTTCCATTGTAATAGGTAACTAACTACTAACCTGCATTTTTTCATTATCCTAAATAGTTGGCAATAACTTTCAAGGACTAGCAGATTCCATTGTGTTGTTAAATGAGCTATATAGGTACAATACCTTGAACAAGAGTAGAAGTATATATACAATATGTTCCCACAAAAATAATCTCAACTTTGTATCAATATACACAATTGGTATATAATATACAAAAATCCAATCCAATATAAAATATTTAAAACTGGTAGATGCCTTTTAAAAGTGGATTCAATAAATTTACCTTTTTATATTATCATATCCATATTCTCCCTTTTTTCAAAGTAGACTCAATAATCTATCTATTATCCTATCATTTCTATGTCTTTTTTTTCAGAGTAGATTCAATAAACTACTTTTTATCTTATCTTTATATCTATATCCTCTTTTTTCTTTTTTTTCCAAACAAGAACCCTGAATCTAATCTCCTTTGTTTAGCTTTTTTCCTGACTATTACCAATAACAACTTGTAATCAACCACCAAAACAATGACAACTATCCATAACTCATTGAATGACCAAAAACCACCCACCCCAACCCTTGGGAATGTGGGCATCATGTTCTTAAATTTACTTCTTGCTATCTGGGGTTGAAGGCATCTTTAGAGGATCCTGAAAAGAAAAAATTTGGGTTAATTGTCAAGTCCTGGGAGAGGCAGCTGTATCATTTGTTGTCCAGTCTCTGCATAATGGGAAAGTGCAGGGCTTGTCTCAAGTACTGGCTAGAGTGGTCTGTGAGGCTGGATCATCTCAGCTAACCATCTCGAAATTGTCCTGAATAGTTTGCATTCGTCCCCAATATAACACATATCCTGGTTTCCATTCCAAGGTCAGCATATCTTTAAAGTATACAGGCTGATTTAATTCTGTAGTTTTTTTTTCTGTTATCCAATGTCTCTCCACAGCTGTTATTCCTTTCTCATTAGCATTGAGAAAATTCAAAGTTAATAAAGCATTATGTAATCTGTTTTGGGGGGTCTTTATTACCTCTTTTTGTTTATTTAGCATATCCTTTAGAGTTCCATTTGATCTTTCTATGACTGCTTGGCCTGTAGGATTATGTGGTATACCTGTAATATGCTTTATATTGTAATAAGCAAAAAAAAAAAAAGATTTCATTTTTACCAAAGACATATGCTGGAGCATTGTCAGTTTTAATTTGTATAGGTATATCCATGATGGCCATAACTTCTAGCAAATGTGTGATTACAGAATCAGCCTTTTCGAAGGAAGAGCAGTTGCCCATTGAAATCCTGAATAGGTATCAATGGTGTGGTGTACATATTTTAATTTTCCATATTCTGCAAAATGAAACACATCCATCTGCCAGATTTCATTCCTTTGAGTACCCTTTGGGTTACATCCTGCAGGAGTGGAGTTTTGTTGTATAAAGAACAGGTAGGATATTTTCTTATAGTTTCCTTATAATTTCTAGATTATGGAAAAACTTCTTTTTAAAACCCTTACTATTGACATGATTTTTTAAATGAAATTCTGAGTTCTCTAGCACATTTCCTATCAACAGTTGATCAATTTCATCATTACCTTTTGCTAGAGGGCCTGACAGACCCATATGGGATCAGATGTGTGTTTTATATATAAGGAATGATTCCTACTCCTGATTATTTCTTGTAACTGCATAAATAATGAAGTTAATTCTAACTCATCAGGGATAAATTCAGTGTTTCAATGTGTAAAACAACTCTTTCTGCATACTGAGAGTCAGTAACTATATTGAGAGGTTCAAAAAA